GGGGGGGGAGGAGGTGGAGGAGGTGGAGGAGCTGCTGTCATGATGTAACCAGATTGCTGTGGGGACTGAAGAACAACAGTGGACTGGAACATAGTGGCATGAGGGTCAGAGCCATCTGTAGATGGTTGGCGGGCAAGACTCATGTGACTAAATTGCGATCCAAGGTTATCCTGCAAAAAAAGGGAAAAGTAAGAAATCATTAAGTCTTTCTTGCACAGACCAAATTAATCAAAGAAAATTGCCTCATCTATTTTTAGTTGTAGTAGTAGATACTACAGAAAATGACTATAACAAATATGACTTAACAAAGATAGAAATGTTATAATGCTGTCATTACAAATTACTTACAAAATATGTGTGTGCCTGTATGTGTGTGAGTATATATTGAAAATGCTTAGCATGCAGAAAAGATTTAGGGTATAACAACATTTTACATTAAAAAAAAGGAAAAGAAATTTAAAATAAGACTAAAGGCACATTGGGAATATGAAGTAAAACTGAACATTTTCATATTATTATTTTTATTAATTAATATTTCCTGAAAGGACTTAGAGACACGAACAAGACATCATTCTAACTATTTTTCACTTTAAATCCTTTTTCTTCCTCAGGACTAAGTTCAGGTTCTATGTATCTCTGAATTTCCTATTATAGCTATCAATCTATTAGCAGAATTAAATAAAAAATATAAAATCCATCCACTTTTTAGTAACTTTAAATTTTCCTCTTAACTAAATGTGGCATATGTTGCCAATCTATGCCATTGGTGTGATATTATCGAAACTTTTCAGAATTGATCCTTTATGCTGTTGATTCAGAAATGTTTTTATGTCAGTTGGCATAATTATGCTGTCTTGGCTGATGAGAGTTGCTTGCTCACCAAGTAGCAAGAGCAGTAAAAAACTGTTATTACATTTGTCTTAATATCTGTCTTTATGAAGAAAACAGAAGGGTAGAATGCAATTTATAGGCAAATTATTTTTTGACATGTAAGCAATTTCTATAGTATGCTGTAAATTGAGTAAGTAAATTAAGGCTGTGAGTAGATTGAAAAAAAAATCTGAATTAATGATTAAAAAACATGGTCTTATTTGTCCCAAATGGTTGGCTTGACTTTCTCTGGCATTATGAGCCTAATGCAATGAATAGTTCCAAAAGGGAAAAATTTACCTAAGCAGCTGTAGTTACAAAATAATACAGGAGAGGTCTGCTTCACCATATGTGAGTTAGCTCACTGGCTGGAGGTAGAACTCAGGCTATTGTGGTGTTAACAATATAACTGTATCTTCATGTTCCAAGGAGTCCTGGAAAAGTCATTTTCTTACTCCAGTATCTAACATTTTTCAAAATGTTTTTGAGGCTTTTATAATTTGAAAATGTTTTCAAAAGGAAATGTTGAAAAATTTCCTTTTACATAGTGATGTTTAAAAAATAACTCAGAGCCAATGTTAGTAGATTCAATGCCAGTAAAGGTTTAGCAAAAACATTCCAAATAAAACAAATTTCTAAAATGTGTTAAATGCTTTTAAGTACTAACTTGTAATTTACTCAATGTGATGGCATATATTGTGAAAAAATAATCGCCATCCTTTACATACTGGTAAAGTATGTAAGTCTGTTACGGAGACCCATTTTAAGGGAAAAAAACCCCTAGTATTTACTGAATGCCTACAGTATGAGGCAGGTACTTTACATTGTTTCATATACTCATATAGTAGTCATGATCTATGGCTTTGAGGAAAAAATACAAACCCAGAAGCCCTCATCCTGGGAGCTCAAAGACTTCAACTGAGAAGGTAACTAAATATCTTAGGACTAGAACAGTCAACCTAAAAAGTATTTTATTATAAAAAGCAAGAAAAGATGAGGGTTTAAACAATCAATATAATAGGTCAATATAACTAGTTTTAAGGAAGAAAATAACTTAATACAGGTTAGAAATATTTTCTCTCTCTGTAATTGGCTTAAAAAATAATCTGGTCAAATTAATTACATTCACAAGCACTCATCACATATCCAGCAACAGAAACAATGCAGGAGATGAAGAGAGATATAGTACCACGGAATATTGCTGGGTGGGTGAGACTGGCAGGAGCGGGGATGGGTAAGGGGCTGTTGAGTACTGAACAGGCTGTGAGGAGGACTGCAGAGGACGAACAGGCTAAAGAATAACAGGGTGACAAACAATGTTAATGTCAGAAAAAAAGTTAGAAGTATTGCATAAAACGGAAAGTATACTTTCTTTTTGACAGATAAAGCTTAAGCTACATTTATAAAGTCAGCTTGAAAACAACAAAATACTAAATGAAGCTCTACAGCATAAGTTATGAGAACATACCTATGTTTAAAATTAATGTATGATTACATAATATTTTGGGCAAAATATTCATTAGCTTTATTGAAACAGATAATTTGGACATTTGAAGTCTTATTATCTAACCAATACCTCTGGTTAAGTCAGTAAAAGCAAAATCACTTATTCCTATTTCCTATTTTAATGAAGATACTGCTCTATTTATATAGATATAACACCAAATAATAAAAGAACATTCATTCTTATTATGCAGACAGTAATAATTAACATAATATCTATGTCAATCACCATCTCTGTTTGATAAGACATGGCTAGATACTATTTTGGAACCCAAGTGCCTACTTTTAGCAACCTTTAAAGAAAAATATACTGTGGATACCACTAACAATAACAGCCTAAAGAATAGCACACATACACAGGTTTTTGCAAGCTTACTTTTATGTAAAGAAGATAAACACTTCGTTAAATCAAAATTTTTATTAAGAGAACATGTTAGGAGTTGAGAAACAGTCACCTGAAAATATTTTTTTGCAAATTAAATATTCCTGTATTTTAGGGAATATTAAATATTAAATGTTTTTAAAAAAATGAAAAATGCTAAATCTTAGGGAATATAGTTGGTCATCTATAGGCTAACCCTGGAATATGAATGATTTCCCCAATCTTAGAGTTTATTACAAAGGGAATAATGTATTGGTACATATTTAAAGATCTCATATTCTGCTTTGTAGATATGAGGCCTTAAGATAAATTAACAGACCTGTTAACTGTGATGTAAGCACCAGAAGAGCACTGAAAGAGTACGGGTAATTTTATCTGATGAAAATTTTAACTTTGGTTAAAATGTGGATAAGTGAATCTTTTCCAGGGCAAAATTTCCAAAGAAAGTACTTTTAAAATGCAAATTTAATTAATTAATATTATACAGGGAATAATCTAAGGAGAATAGATATATATTGATTAGCTGCATTTTACCACAAAATCAACACAACAGTTTCTAAAAAACAAAAGGCTTAGATTAATTCTGCACCCACAAAAAAGTTTAGAATTAAAAGTACTAAAACAAATGGAAAAGTTGAATCCATAGAGTAGATAGTCATGGTTCCTATAAACTTCTTATGTAGAAATTAAACAAGTTTCCTAATGGATGACAACACACTTGATACTAAAAAAGGTGCAGTAGCTTTAGAACTTCCACTAAGTGTTATTCAACATGTTATTAAGTCAGACAACCATTAAGACATAACTTTCTTCCAGAGAACCTGATATACAAAGTAAATGTCAGATGAAATAAAAGCTTTTGTCTTCTGAGAGATAAAAAAGAGCACTAAGCACCCATGATGAGCTAATGTCTCCTATAATGTCAAGTGGTAATAAGAAAAATGTGGGCTGAAAGACTGATCAAAATGGAATCCTGACTTTACTTTAGACAAAAATGTCTTAGCATTTCCTTATCCTATTTAAACTGCTTTTAGCCACAAAACAACATCCTCCTATAAAGACTAGTTTCAAGTAATGTAGTCCACTGAAGGTTTTGGAAATCACAACATTATTTTTGTTGTTTATCTGAAATTTAATGGATGACTTAAGTAGAGTATGCAAAAGGTGATTACTGAATATCATTTGCTCATCATTTCTCTCTTTTTTTTTTAATGTGATGATGAATTACTAGAAACACCTGAGGCAATGCCAGGAAAATAAGCCATAGATTTTTAAAAAAATTTATGTATCTATTCACATTGTTGTTCATTTTAAAACAATGTTTACTTCCTCTTCCCCCAATTTGTCCGGGCACCATTACATACCCTAAGATTTTAAATCACAGTCCACCAAGTCTATTTCTAAACTAAACTGTCTACACCTTCATTTAGGATTGCCTATGATATTAAATAATATAAAACTATTTCTAACAGAAAATACTCTGAAGTATACATCATTCAAAAATTGTTGAGAATTTTGAAGCAGACTAGTATTGACTTAAATGAAAAGAAAATCACTCCTGCAAAAGCTCCTGGTGAAATTAACTAAATGATAACAAAATGAAAAGGATACTCTTAAGGACCACAGTGAATGTTTTATTATATACTCTATTTTAGGTAATTGAGTATATAAATTCAAATGGGATTGGAAAGTAGTTACATGAAAGTCTTTGGAAATAGTCAATTTCCTCTACATGTATGACTTCATTTATGTTCTCAGAAATACATCAAAAACAAAAATTTTCCTTCACTAGATATACTGCTTTGCTCAGTATTTGGAGTCTTAACTGCCAGAGGTACAATTATTTTTATGATATCTACAGTATTTGATAACTTCATTAAACTTCTCATACATTCTTCACCCCTGAAATACCAATATCAAAATACATGAGGAAAAGTAATACATTTCTCCAGTAACAGTTTATCATTCTTCTTTCACAAGAACTTATTTTGCATGTTCTTACTAGAGGAATATTTAGATAGTCTTATAGGGTAAAAGAGGTATAACCTGTTATATACAATTTATGATATATAACCTTTACAAGTAGAATGAAAGTGTTTACATTGGTATCAAGTTTTTCAAGGATGAGTAACTCCATCTAAAGGGGAAAAGACTGATGTGAAAAATGTATGTGAAACTCTAAATATTTAAGCAAATTCAAAACATTATTAGGAGTGCTTCTGGGAATTTTAATTCAATGTTTTTGTCTCTGTCTTTTTTTAGGATAGGTGGGATAAAGAGTGCCATGCAAAAGCGGAGCAACCAAACTCAGTTTCTCTTAACTATTTGATCTGCTGAATCTTAAAACAAGTAACTATGCTCACTAATAGTAAGCGACCATGTTTTTTGGATTGCTCTTGCTCATCTCTGCTGTTATTAAGTAGGGATAAAATACTTACCACATAAGCTCATGAGATACAAAATTCCCTTCTTTCCTATAAATATATTGTATTTTCATTAAAAATAAAACCCTTGAAACCCGCGGGGATTACAACTGAGATGAAAAAAAAAATGTACAAAACGATGTAAAAATAAACTGTTAAAATAAATAAATAAATAAAACCCTTGAAGTTAACTTCTCTTAGTGGGACATCACTGGTGAAAAATACTGAGGTTCTAGGAGATGCTTACTTGGGCTATTGCAATTAAAATAGTGAATTTTAGTCTCCCCAGGTGCAAACACTAGTGAACTTAACATTATGTAATCATGGAAATGTGCACCTGTGAGAAAATGTGATTAGCTGCTTGTTGTTGAGGTGGTGGGGGTGGCAGAGGTGGCTGTGGAGGTCCAGGCACTTGGGTTCTAACTGGTTGTTGAGTCATAGGAGGATTATACACAACTGGACTTCCATCTGGGTTAATGAAGGGTTGACCTGAAAAATCAAAAAAGGAGTAAAAAACTTACAATAAAGGTCAAAAATACGTCTACTGACAATTTGCAAGGTGTCTACAATTCCTGTTCACAATTCTAAAAGCCTCAAGTTTTTGAAAACCAAATGATTTTCTTAGCTTGGAAGTTTAATAGCTGACATGAGGTTATTTATAGTGTTTACTTTCCTCACTTATGAACTAAGTATTCAAAAGTTTTGTGACAGTGTTATACTAGCTGGATGTTGTTTTAGAACCTACTTAAGTTATTTAATAATCACAGATTTTCTGAAAAACTGTAAATTTACAACTCATCTTGCTCAAGAAATTCAGTTTCACGGATTGTGGTCCTGTAATGGTTTAGTATTGATACATTTCAGTTTGAAGAACAAATGGCTTGATTTTGAAACAATGGAAAATTAATAAGCAGTTTCTAATGGATAGTGGTAAATATCTCATATATATGCCACATTGTATATATTTAACTAATAAAATTAAAACTGTATAAAAATTTAAGTGGTTGACAGCTGCAAATTTCAAATTGTGGGTTTGACAGCAATGTCCTTACAACTCCTAACTTGTCAAAACTTAAAAAAAATCTGTTCAACTCTAGCAAAGGTTACAAAAAAAACCAGAGAACCTCAGTATTCACTTAGAGTCTCATTCTTACTACTTACTAATAACTAAGGTGAGGGAAATGGATATTTTAAGTAGCTAAGTAAGCTATTATTTTTACATATACATTCTAAATAATTTATCCTTATAAATTTTTTTTTTTGTTTTGGGGAAATAACCAACAAATAGAGATCATGAAAATATATATCACCCATAATTTAAATAATCTATAAACCTCCCAAAATCTTAACATTCTGGGTACCTTCTTCCAGACTTTTAAAAAATGTATGTATAAACATATTCAAAGTAAGGAGCATGCAAAATAAACTGACCACTGATAGTGAGATCCATTTAGAAAGGGAAAAATAAAATTTTATCAGTATACTAGTAACTTATTTGATGCTTTTAGGTAACTAAAAACAAGTCATGCTGCTTGTCTGTTGATTGCTGAATGATGTTAGGGAAAACAGGTAGAGATTTGGGTACAAACACTAAACAACAACTGTAGAAATGCCTTTAAAAAAAGGTCAGATGTGCTGAAATGCTGTTCTAAAAAAGAAAACAGATCACTTTGGATACATTTAAATTAAGAAATCAATTCAATTTCATTCTCATTTCCTAATCATCTGAATCTTCCATGTTACCAAAAACATATTGTGTGATTTGAAAGAAAATAGAAATAGTAAAACATTAAATCATATTATATTCTGTTTCAGAAAAACATAAAGCTTGGTAAAGGAACAGACCTCAAAGATAACCGCTATAAAGCAAAAACTAAATTTGAAGAGACAATTTATGGTACTTCAATTTTTCAATTTTTATAATAGAAAAAAACACTGCAACACTTCAACTTTAAAAAAGAGATACAGAAAAATCTGAAGGTAATAAGTGCCAAGCAATGATTTTCTCTATGAAAACCAAAAGGAAGGTTCTGGAACACTCAGATATTCTTACCTGTATTTATTTTATTACCCAACTACCACACCATGAGCTTAACTGCAAATACTTAAGTGGGGGTTATCGAATGATAAGATTTTTTTCATTATCTTACCAAATGATTGGGCAATGTTATTTCGAATAGTTATCAAGACTACATGTGATCTTCTAAAACATAACACTTATTCTGATTATTTTTGCCAATATACGTACTCAAACATGTTTAGTTTTTTTTTTTAATCTCTGAAGTTCAGTCTCTTTGTAAATGAGGATTTTTGTCTAGTAAGGTTAATGCATTTCAGGCATTTAACACAGTATATGACATATTAATTGCTAAGTATAATTATTATTGAATTGCAAGGAATGTGTTGTCAATGCTAAATAACGATTATATACACTTTTTTTTAAAGGTATGAGATATCTTTTACCTTTTACTTAAAAAACATTATTGCATTTAGAAGAACATTTACAGTAGGTTCTTTCTACCATGTTATATGATAAACAAAAGCTGTATACTTTCTTCTTTTTTCAGGAAATGCATACTACTTTCTTCAGGATAAAACTGTTCAATCAAATAAAGTTCCTTCAAAGCTGGATGTCTCATTTCTAGAAAACGAATTGTTTTATAACTATAGTTTGGCCATTATCTGGCCTAAAAGATGATGTCATGGATGTCACAGAGGAAAACTACTTTCTGCTATAAATATCTTTAACATTTCCTACTGTGTTTTTATTAAAGTTCCAAATAACCACACACACACACACACAAAATACAAGGCTGATAACATATACACTGTACAGACAATAACATCTAATACACATTTTTTAAAACTTCCACATAACTCCTGGTATCTCAACAGAAACAAACAGCTTTTTCTGGATACCAACCTGTTTGTGGGTTGATCAGAATACTGCCAGGTGGTATGCCTGCCGCTTCCAAGGGAAGCAAAAAGAAGCTAGCGCTAGGAGATGCGACTTGCCCATTTAGGCCACCATCAAAGGAAAGAGAACTATGAGTGCTGACTGTTGGATAGACGACAGGTGCGCCATGAGAAGACTGGCTGAGAGCTGTACCTGGAAGAGGCTGCTGGATGTGAGAAAGAGAGCCCGTAGATGACCCTACACTACCAGAAGACTCTGAACCTAGGGAGGAGTAATGAAAAATATGGATTTTTTTTAAACCTCATATAAAAATGCGGATTTAAGTATGTAACAATAAAACTCATATTGCATAACATGCAATTACCACAAAAAGCATCAAGCTGTTTTTGATTTACCATACAAGTTTGCTTTCCTTCCCCATATAAACAAGTTTAACACAGTAAATTGATCACATAAGTGTTAAAAGAAGTCACAGCCAAAGCATGCAACTTATGCAAATTTGTAACTCCAGCCAGAGACATTCACAAAAAGCTATTACTTACATTCCCCCAAGAACAAAGTTTATACATTTTACCTTTTTAGATTAACACCTAGAAACATACAGATTAAAATCTTCCCCCAGGAAAAAGAATTTAGCACATCAGAATGCCTAATAAGTCTAACATCAAAAACCCCTTATCTATAAGAACATAGAAAGATTGAGCAGTATAGGGAAAAACAAGTTTGATAAATTCTCTATCAAAGAAACAACAGTCAAGTTTTAGTGCAGAATTTCATTTCAGTTCATTATCATACTATCTTCTGACTTTTTTATTTCTTTTTTTAATTTAATATAATAGTTTATTTTTACATCATTTTGTGTCTTCTGACTTTTAATGTCAACTTTCAATTTATCAAGGGACAAAGATAGCATAAAGAAATATTCCATGTACTTAGTTTAGTATCAGTTGAATTTTTTTGCCACTGTATTTAATAACCTTAATTTATTTTTAAACTGCTTTCATGTCTGTAATCTATTTTATTTCCTATTAAACAGAATCTGAAAATGTCACTTTCAGTGTATTTGTTAAAGTAGAAAATGAGAGAATGAAAGAAATTAAAAGATTTTTAATAATGTATGTAATTAGACTTTTTGTAATAGAGTTTACTCTGGGTCTGAGAATTAATCTTTTATGAATGAAACAAGTATGTGACACTGCAGACTTCTTTCTGAAAGCAACTTCTATTTTAAGTGGTGCCAAGTAGCATTACTACAAAAACTATACACAAATCATTTTTCTTATTAAAAGAAGAGTTAAAACTTTTTTCTTATCTCTGCAGATAATAATACAGGTTACAAATGCTACATGTTCTTAAAACATTTTAATTTGGCCAGTGTGTCTAAAATAACTCTCATGACACACAAGTAGATTTTTTTTCTGTTGTGAAGACTAAGTGGCCATTTTATAAATAAATACATCCGTAGTACATGTGCAGAGTTCTTATATTTGTAAACTTACCTATTTTTGAACAATGTACTATTATATACACTAAGGTTTTTTTTTTTTAAATAATATAATAGTTTACTTTTACATCATTTTGTACCTTTTTTTTTTCCATCTCAATTGTAATCCCCCTGGTGATGGGAAACCCAGGGGGATTACAATTGAGATGGAAAAAAAAAAAATACACTAAGGTATTTTTAACATTCACATAAGTTAAAAAGTTAACAAGTACATTTATATATAAGCTTTAATAATTTCAAGCAGTGACTACAACCAGGGATTAAAAATAAGTGGTCACCTCGATATATACATCTCTCTTTTTAATTGTTTTCTGTAGGACAGCATATATCTATAGCAAGACAGACAATCATTTCTGCTGACTTTCATGTTTTGGGGATAAAAATCAACATCTTCAAAGATCTTAAAAGAGATGTCAGCTACTTTACTACTAAAGAAAGTGAAACTAAGTGTTATGAGTCTATGTACTCGAAAAACAAAGAAGTTAGAATGTCATTGAACTTTCCTCTCTCTCATTCATGATAATTACATCATATATTTTTCTTTAGTCCTAAAATTTCTCAGAAACATCTCAGCAATTTTATTCATTGTTTGGCAAATAAAGGGCTTTATCATGAAAACTACAACCAACAATTTATACAATTTTAGCTTAAAAATGCAATCAACGATAAATAACCCTACGTGAGAAAATATGCCTTCTAACTATACATAAGCAATGAAGAATTTCCAGCTACTTCTGGGTACTCAAATAAAAAATGTCATTCCATAGAACCAACCTGATTAAGTTTATGTCACAACAGAGAAATAATATATTAGTCGATGTTTATAGGTATCTCACACAGAGAATGAATCATAAATATCAATAAATGCATTATATCTTAAGTACTCTGGAGATACTTGATGTATTGTTGGTTATATTTGATAAAATTTATACTTTAGGTTATTTACAGAAGCCTTATGATAAAGCACTAAAACAACATTATGGAAACTAATGTTCTGACTGAAGAATTCTAGACAGATGTTGATACCTGTTTTTGAAAGCCTGCCTATGCTTTTGCTGCTTCCAGAACTATCACCTCTTGTCAGGACTGAAATTCCACTGAAACTGCTGGCTTTGGTTACAGCAGGCTTGAAGTTTCGAAGAGAGCTGTCTGAATCAGTGCTGCTCCAGGGCCGTGGTTCAGAGTACTTCAGCTCATTCTCAGTGCTGCTTTGATGGCTATTTGTTGATCTCCCTGAAGCATCTTTATTAACTCTGTAATTTAGGAATAAAGCTTTGAAAAAACTAATACTGACAAAAAACAGAAAGAATAAAGAAAAAAATATTTTTAAAGTTTTCAATGTTAGATGAAAACATGCTTCCGATACCTAAATATCTGACGCCTCTGCTGGGTACTATTACCATCCTCATCTTGAATTCTGTTGGCATTTTAATAAGACATTTTAATTTTGATTAATATCAGTCAGATAGCTGCAAAAACAACTGTTATAAATTCTCTTACCTTTTGTCAATAATATAATTCTCTTGGGAACACAGGGACTAGAAGGAAAGAACATATATGAAAAAGTGAGTTTATATCAAATGTATAATGACAAGACTGACAACAAATGTATAAAATGTATAAATCAAGACTGACAACAAAAGTCTTATGTAATAGTATTTAAAAAGGACCCCCATAATAAAAATCCAAAGCAGTGATCAGAGTACACAAATAAATGATAACAACATTTTTATTTTTACCTTGGAGACACTAGGATTACTTTTAACAGATACACATTTGGAAGGCAAAATTATTTCTGCTGTATGAACTACTCTGCAATACAGACAATTCTCCTTCAAACAAGTGAAGCTATTTTCATTTATTATATTTAAGGTACACACTAGTTTAGATTTCACCTCATTCAATCACCAAATATTTTACCACAGGTGCTTTGGCTGTGGAGGCAGTTGTGAATAAGCAGCTACAATTTGATACAATTTATAGACAAACTGTTTCTAGTATTATTACCTTAGCTCAGTCAACTATTTTTTTTTCTTTTACTATTATAAAGGTCTCCCACCTAGCTATCAGTTTCTGCATCTTTCATCCATTTTAAGCAACAAAAGCCTTAACAATCTCAAAATTGTCAATCTTATCATGCTTCTTTTCTCCTTAAACTCCTTGATGCTGTAGCACAGAAATCAGATAACTGTAGCCTATCACCTATTTTGTCAAATGAAAATTTACTGGAATATAGCCATACCCATATATTTACAGCCTTCATATTAACAAAGTTGATTTGCATTACTATTATAAAGGATGTATGGCTTGAAAAGTCTAAAATATTTATCTGTCCTTCACAGAAAAAGTTTGCTGACTTGTGCTCTTTAGTTAAAAGCCCGAGCACCACAGCTAGCTATCAAGGTCAATTCATCAAGTTCCTGCTTATTTGTCCAATCTAACTTTCCTTATTTACTTTGTCACATAGGCTATAGTTCAGCTATTCATTTTTTTCAACTCTCCAAGTGTCAAGTTCTCCATTTTTTCCTGGGTTTCTGCAAACAATGAGGCTCTAATTAAAACAATTCACTCTTTAGGTCTTCTCTTGGGAACTAACTCTCCACCTCTTGCTCTCAATTTTGGTTTATGGTGCTTTCTCTACTATGTCACCTGTTTTATCTTCATGTCTCCTTACATCTCATACTGCATACGGTCATTATTAAAACAAGTTACTTCTCAAGAGAAGTTCATTATTGACACCATAATTTAACAGACAATGCCCGATGTTTTAAAAATCTTAAGTCTGTTAGGTATGGAAGGAAAACAAACAAACAAAAATCATACAATCCGTACACTCAGTACTCTATATGCTCAGTTCTGTATACTACTCCTGTAGTCTATCTCCTTGCAACATTCATAAAATGTATGTAATTTTGATAGTGTAACACTACTTCTAAAAGGTGACTACGTGTAACAAACCTGGTCAGAAATGTGTGATCAACAGATTAAAGGAAAAGTGAGTTCTTACAATGCAATTAGCATATACTCTAATAGAAAGTCTTAAATATAAGGTAGTCCATACATCTTGGGAAAATATTCGATCTCTAGCTCTCTGGTACTCTTCCTCTCTTTCTTCAATAGATTTGCTTCTTCTGTCATCTTTCAAACGTATTCTCATCTAAAGAAATGAGAACAATTAATTCTTGAGAAAATGATATGCTGGTATAAGTCATACATCTATAAAAATTGTGTTAGAGTACCTGGTTATCATCTTTGTCAAAGCTAGAGTTATCTCTCTTGAGAATATACCGTTTCTGAAAATCTTCACCTTTATCATCCTTAATATGTTCATTAAATTTCTGATCAGGTCTAGAAACCAAACAAAACAAAGAGTGATTTAAAAATATATATACTTAGAGAAAATTTAATTATGACATATTATGAAAAGTAATAAAAGTAGCCACTCATATGTGTCAGATACTTATCTCATTTAGTCTTCACAATCTTGTAAGAAAATATATTAAGTATCCCATGTATGATTTAGAGGCCATATCAACTACAGTGTGAGCTCTATAATCGAACTGCTGGGATTCATACATTCAACTTTTGACTACAGAACTAAGCACTCAAAAAGGCTTGGGAGAGGAGTAAGAGAAAAGAGGGAAGGAATCACAATGGGCCATGATGTGGACTATTGGTGATTTGGTGGTGGGTGCACTCCACTGACCATACCTGATGTGGGGACCTTAATGTTACCTCAATTAAACAAAAATTTATGAAAACAATCTTCAGCTTTATCTCTAGTTGCCTTAAGACTTGAAAAAGTTACTTCACCTTCCCATTTCCTAGTCTTTTCCATTTGTAAATGGTAATTATAATGTACCAAATTCACAGGGTTGCTTTGAAGCTGAAATTAACAGATGGAAAGCAATTAAACATTAGGCACACAGGATACTGTTATCATTATAAATACTGAGAAAACTGAGGATAAAATGGCTTTAGCACCTGTCCAAGGTCAAAAGGCAAGCACAAAACTAAACCCTAGTTTGAGCCAGGTATTTCAAACACAAAGCCTGTATATTCTCTTTGCAAGGTACCTCTCAATCTAAGTGAAAATTCTGGTGTGTTATGTAATTGAAAGCAATCAAGTATTTTGTTATCGAATTAACCAAAACTCAAAAAAGAGTTCTTCAAAATGCAATTAAGTTGCCACAAATTCTAATTACAGTAGAGCACATCTCTTTTTCCTTAACATTAATTTAAATAGGTTGGAAAAGAGAGATTATTTTTTGGAGGCTAAATTTGTAACAAAGTTATGATTATGAAATCTTAACAATGTATTTTATACTTGTCTTTTTTCTATGGAGGGAGCAAGTTCCACTGGATCCAGAAGACAAACATAAGGTTGTTTCCAAGGAAAAGGACAATTATGTTAAATTTCACTTCTCCAACTCATTCTTTTTTTTTTTTAAAGATTTATTTTTATTTATTTATGCATACATACTTCTGGAAGTATGAGTGAGAGGATTCACCATAGACAGAGAAGGGAGCAGAACAGGTGTACCTACTGAGATACACTGCTGAGGGGAGCAGAGGGCAAGATAGGAAAGGTCTGCTGTGCCACATGGGTTAGCTCCCTTGGCTGGGAATCAAACTCATGCTGCAGTGACTGGCAACAATTTGATAGCACTGAGTCTTTAACCCCACTGCTACCAGGGGGGACCCCAAAACACATTCCTATCTTTAATAAATTCATTTAAAGCTCTTATGACTTAATACTATCCTGTTATAAAACTGTAATTATTCTTTTGAAATAGATGTTTAAATAGTTATAAATATACTATAAGAAGGCCTACTTATAATACAAGTCTAATTTGACCCGTGGACTTTTTTATATACAGTATATGTAGTCATATATTTGTGAATACTCAAATAACTTTCTGACCAAAATAAATCTTAGTAGTGTTTCAGCAAACTAAGGCCATCATTCATTATACAGTAATCAATGAACACTTCTGAATATCTTAATCTAGTTAATTTTATCATAAAGTACTATTTTGCCTCCTGACAAATTTTATAGAAGATAGAGTAAGGGTGCTCTAAGTGAGGTAACGAAATCTCTATATTTTTTTAAAGATTTATTTATTTATGCATACATAACTGGGGAACAAGCCAGAGGTGCAGGGGCAGTGAGAGGATTCACCAAGACAGAGAGGGGAGCAGAACAGGCCAACTGATGAAGTACATTGCTGAGGGGAGCAGTGGGCGTGGGCCAGGAGAGGTCTGCAGTGCCATGTGGGCTACCTCTGGGGTGGGTGGGGGTTGCATGCTGAAGTGGCTTTAGCTTCTTAGTGCTGTGCTGTAACCTGCTGTGCCACCAGGGAGGGCCCAAGAAATCTCTATTTTTAAAGTATACATAAAACAGATACATATTGAAAGGAAAAATAAGAGTTCAGAGTTTGATAAAAAAAAGTTATATGATGAAACTGATGAGGAAAAGAATGCTTTCTTTAGAAATTTGATTCTCTCTTTAGTTTTGCCAGTGACAGTACATTGTTTCTGTTACATGATTGCCTTTTTTTACTTAAATATATCAACTATTTCTGTAGCTGTTCTAAGTTACTTAATATTCGGGAAAGATACTTATTCCAAAGTGATCTTTAAGGTTTAACTGAGGGTTTGGGAGCTTTTCTAAGAGCAGCTGGCTTCCCACACCAAATAGCATTGGCAGGCATTTCAGCTAACCTTAAGACTGTCTTACCTCTTTCTTTTATAGATGCCTGAATTTACTGCCCTGTAATCGCCAACTTCCCGCTCCAATGAGACAACCCAGTGGACAGAGAGTTGTTGACATCCACACCACTGGTTCAAGGCTGGAGCGGGTAATCTGCCTATGAGGAAAAGGTAAGTTTGTTTTTATTCAATGCGGAGAAGATCTCTAAGGTTTTCTCATTTGCAAACTTCTTTATAGTTCAGAAGATATAAAATGATACATACAGTGTAACTTCAGTGATCTAAAATGCCTAATTTTATTATAGAATTGTTATTAAGGGTATCAGAAAGTGATTAGCTTAATTTTTGATTACCTTGATAAAGAGAATCTTAGAATTTTCTGACAACATATATATCATTCAACACTGAGGTTACACTGTATTGAAAACCTTAGAGAGTCACCAGTCAAAATGTTAGTCAAAATGCCTGCTAATGTATATGTGCTTGGTTATCCAGCAGCTCTGAGTAATGGTGAAAGGTAACGGTTAAATGAAATAAAGTTCTATTTACCTTTAGTCCAGTTGTTATTTTATGATTACTATCCTATTTATTTTAAGATTACCACCATAACCTACCATGACAAAACTAACTGGGAAAAGCTTTACACAGGATGTTATTTTTGAAAGATTAAGGGACAGACAGGCAGATAAAAATTAGAATCATATTCATATTTTCAGATAAAATTTAATCCCTAAAGAGACAGGACTCTTTACAAACATCCATCTTTAGTAAGCAATCACTTAAAAATACTAGGTTCCAGAAATGTATCTATGAAAGAAAACCAATTTAGTTACATCAAACGATATGGCACTAAATGGTAAAGGTTACTATAAACAGAAGGGACATAAAGTGAATTAATATAGATAAGAACCTGAGAGGTCTGGCCTCAGAAAATGCAAAAAAACATGGAACTGAAAAAGCATGCTTTATGGCATATGAAGTTGACTGCTGTTCATTACCACACACCTATTGCAGTCACATATGAGACTGATTAGAGAAAATTCTTTTACTAAGCAGATGACAATGTTTAAATTCTAGATTAACTAGCCACTTTAGGATTAGCTTTAAAGATAGGCATATGAAGTAATGTGTGCATGTTATAATTTTAGGTTATCTCTGCAATGGACCAATTTTACTCCCAAATATCAGCAGACTATTTCACTGACATTATAAAAACACTACTGACATTATAAAAACACTACTTCTTTAAGTATTCTCTGAATCTACAAATTTTTTTCTAGTAAGTTATACAGAGCCAAGAAATCTAAATAAACACAGTGCTATATTAACCAATAGTCCTACCATCTTAAGATTTGTGGGAAAAGAACAAAAACACAAATGAAAAGGAGGGTTAACAGATAAAACACTAATTAAATGTGAAGATGTCAAAATCTTTTTTTTTTTTTTTTTTTTGCCTCAGTTGGCCATGGCTATGCAATTACATTACTTAAATGTCCACAGAGAATGTTATCAGATACTGCTGTGGTTTGCTTTTTTAAAATTACTAAGGTCTTATCTGCCTTATTTGTGAGCTAAGTGTAATTTTGGTCATTTCATATAAGTTTATATAATGAAGCTTCACTGGGTTACTAAATCATATGAAAATCCTTTGATGATAGGTACTGTAGAAAGACAAAAGTTTATCATTATGCACACATATATAACATGTACACACATTCTTTGATACTTACATTCTTGTATTGCTAGTTTTATTTACTATGACAGACTTCCCACTCTGGTCAACATTGTGGTCTAGTCCAAAGTAAGCGGCAACTCTGTGTAATAGCATCCTATGGTAAGATGTCATTGGGGGGAATTTTTTACGTGGAGACCTAGAGGTAGAAGGAAAGTCAATTTAGTTACATTAAGGAGAACTGTAATAACAATTGTTTTTTCTTGTTAATCTCAGAACTTACTCATTATTACCAATGAAATCTAAAATTTCTTGTTCCAATTTCAACAGCATCATTCTGTCCCTGAAACAAAATATGAAGACTTTTATATGTAAAACTTAACACTGAAATAATCATAATTGTTGACTTAATATGGCTAATTTTTACCTAAAAAAACTATACACTGAAGACTATCATAAGCTTTATGCTAGAATATTTATGCTGTTTAAAAGGAATTAAAGGAAAGATAACTTTTCCTAGCTAAATTTTTATAATGAAAAATTTCATACATACACAAATATAATTAACAGTCTAATGAACTTCAATTTAGTCATTATTCAACTTCAACAATTATTAATGTAGTAATTCTTAAGGTATATTGTGATCTGCTAAGTACGTGTATGAATCTGTTCTGTAAATACATGGACAATAAAAACATATTAGTCTTTATTCTTATTGAATAAAGCTGAAAGTTGTCAACAAAATAGGTATCTTTAGTTAAGACTCATGCCTTTGTTATAATGCTGAACTCCACAGAAATAGTACTCTGAAGAACATGCAATACCAGTAAGAGGTCTACTCTTAAGGGATCCAATCTAGTACAATATATAGATGAAACTACTGGCAGAAAAACATGAAATTCATTACCAACTCAAACTCAGGAGAGGACTTTACAAATCATTTTGTAAAATTATGTAATTTTAAGGCTTTGGGAATTTTTCTCATAAAAATAAAAATGAATAAAGTTCTGCAACATGTGAAATATACAAGGACTATAGAATATCTGCATGTGTTCCTTTATGCTACCAAGAGTCCTACTTAGTGAAGTTTGGTGGTAACAAATTATTGGTACCACCTCCATACTCACAAAGAATATGGTTCAAGAGACTATTCTGTCCTCACTTTAAATTTCATATACATGTGAAAAAAAATTCGGAACTATTCAATTTTTTCCTAAAATTTTAGAACTCAATAAAACTAGCTAAAGAGGTTAATTTCATCTTCCAAATAAACATCATATAGTTGATCCCTCTCAAATTCTAACAAAGACAGTATACTTTGCTTAAGTTGCTTAAAAGTCTGTTCAACAGCCCTTAGGTGTGATCCATTCCATACACTGTAAAATAAGTCTGACAAAACTGAGTAATATCTGATAATACCTTGTTTTATACTAGTTGAAATATCTCCCTGGTGATTTCAAATAAATGCTAAAAATAGGATTATACATCAACATAAATTCTCAACATTCAATTTTGCCCTCAAAACTGATTCTCCTTTAGTATTTTCCAACTTGGTAAGTGGCACTACCTTCCACCCAGCATGTTGTTACTAGAAACATTTTTAGCCCATCACAGTCCACAGTCCAATCCTGTCTAGTTAATTACTATTGTAATTTTCCCTCTATTTCAATTACCACCCCAGACTGAAATAATCAGGATCTTTGGTTTGACCACTAAGGATACTGTCCCTCTGAATCTTCCCTTGTTCCCCAATTTATTCTTCATGGAGGATATATAATGATTTTATAAACACAAGTATAAACACACTAATGTGTGTTTGCCTAGTTTAGATATTACCACAACTTTCCCACTGTTCTTGGCTTGGAATTGACCATCTATAATACGGACTACAAAGCAGCATGAGCTAGTCTTCAACTACTTTGTTAAACTCATTTCCTCCTTAGTCACAAAAACTCTTTTCTTTCTCAGCTTTTACCTTGTTGTCTTTGGCTAAAACAACCTTATATTCTTTCTCATAACTGTTTCTTCATTCTTTAATAATTTTATCATAATATACTTATTATCATTATATTCTTATATGGACTATACAGAGAAGCTTAATATGTGTATTTAAATGATATAATTAATTTTATTCAGGTCCTTTCATATTATTTTTCCTTCAGTTTTGGGGGAAAGATGGGAAATTTTAACTTCATAAAGTTTCCACCCCCCAATATTCTAAGATCCTTTTTTTAATCTAACCTATTAGGGTCAAGTTCAGTAATCAACCTGGTATATTTTTTATAATTATTGTAGGAAAAATAAAGCAACCTGAATTGTGCAACTTGATGTTCATAAACACTTTAAATTGGTTTTCTGTGTTTGAGCTCAACAGAAGATATACAATGTGAAATATTCTTCAGTGACTGTTGCCACTGAAAATAAATTTCTATTGTACCCTAGGAGGAAAATAAAATCAGATAATTTTACTCGCCACTGATACATGTGATTTTTTTTTTTTCTTTCTGACACAAGTAGATCTATGGATTAAGGATTTTATTATTTGGTCCACTTACTGCTTAAACTAAGTTCACCTATTTAGTTTACTGAGCTTTAAGTTTTAAGTTTGCAATATAAGTTTCTTTAAGATTTAGTAGTTTCATGGCATCTATGATCCACTAAATTCTTGAGATTTACACTTTCTTCCTTTGTATCCATTATAACTTAATGCAACTGTTGAAATTTTTAAATATGTGACCAAGGTTAGATATTTTGATAAATAAAAAAAAAATAATAATCCCTCATAGAAGCAATACTATAGGATTCAAATGAACAGAGCCACAAGTTGCTTTTCCTAAGGTATAATGTTTAGCAAGTGAACTAAAACCATCTAAAAATAGGCACACTCTTTAAAACTGCAATAATACAATCTCTTAAATAAACAATGCATGGCATTTCTTATTAAAAAACAAAACAAAACAAAAATACTGGGTCATTAAACTATTACCCACAGTTAAATTGAAGGGGCAACAATTACAGTTACCAGTGCTCTAGAGTTAGTGTGCCAGAAATAACTTTAAAGAAAGAACGCAGCTGGTGTATCAGTGGTAAATAAACAACAATAATGCTTCCATATGACCACCCCCTTCCAATGTTCTATATAACCTTGATCAAATTTCTGCAGCACATAAGAAATACAATGACTCAAACTCTGCTTTCAAAAAAGTAATTTAGAAAGTATTTAAAATACAGAACAATTACATGACATTACCTTTAGAATAAATTGCCTTTAAAATGGTCATTCCATTTGTTACTGTATTGCTATACAGGGAATTTATACAAAATAGGCACAAAAATCAACACAATGGTATAAATTCATGTCTGAGTGTAATCTCTTTCAAAGTCACCTTCAATTTCGAGGTTCTAATTCTTTATATATATTCTATATATATTTCCACACAATATATATAGTGTGCAACAGGAATTCCTAAAAAATTACTATTTCACATTGAAGTTGAATTTATTAGACTGAGAACAAAATAAAAATCCAATAATCAAGAAAAAACATGAAAGGTTGAATAAATTTTATTAATTTTGAATAAATTTTTTGTAGTACTAGAAATAAATCTGCTCAGCAGTTTCTGGACTAACTAATATTCAATCTTAAAAGTGTTAGTAGAAATTTGCCATATTTAATTATTAATTCTATGTCATGTAACTGACAATTAATTATAAGCTTCACTGAGAGAATATTGAACTATTAATTGAACAATTATTTCTTCACAAAATATGAATTAGTTCCCCAAATATTTATTCAAATAAAAACATGTCCAGGAATAAAATATTGAAACATGGCACAAGGAGGAACCCTGAAAATAAGCTAAGTGAATGAAGCAAGACACAAAAGACTATACATATTCATTTCATATGAGACCATTCAGACAATTTTATTCATATGAGATGTCCAAAACAGGGAAATCTGTAGAGACATAAAACAGATAAGGGTTTAAAGCATAGTGGAGTAATAACTAAATAGTATATAGTTTCTTCCTTGGTGGTGAAAAAATTCTAATGTTAATATTAAAAGCAGTAGTGTACATATCTCTCAGTGTACTAAAAGTCATTAAATTGTACATCTTTAAAATGCAGATGCAGGTAACTGAAGCCTTTGTATTTGTAGAAGAAAACAAAAAATTGCAAAACAGGAATAATTTGAATGCTAAAAATAGATTACTAATCTGTCCTCACAGATGTCTGTCCTTTAGGTAAGGCAAAGTTAGGACTCTCTAGGATATCATCTTGTTTTACTTGAACTAGTTATCTATTTTCTACTTCTTCCTTATTGCTTGGCTCACCCAGATCTAATGGCCACGATCTTTCTTCAAACGGCATGACTTGTTAACAACAACTTCCTAGTTTCTCAAGTGATTAAGCTGTTTTTGTTACTTCTGTGTTCATCTTTATATTATTTTATCTTCCTTGAAAACTGTAACCCCTTGGTAGAATTTAAAAGCAAATGTGCTCATGAGTCTTCTGCCATCGATAGGATTCAGTCTCTTCTTTTTCACCTAACTTTTATATACTGTCTCCATGTAATTTCATCCTTGACATTACTTCACAGCTCTGGGAAAACACAATCACAGTAAATTTCATAGCCACTGACTCCTGAATCTATTTACTGTAGTTGGGTTCATTTATTTGAAAACCAAAGTATTTTAACTGCAGACAAACTTCATCTCCTGGCTCTCCAATCAGATACCTCAGACTATACTTATTTAAAACAGGCTTAACCCCTGTTTACTACTTCCTCAGTTAATGGGACTGGCTGTCAGTTTAGCCAGAAACCTAGAAGCTATTAAGTTATACTATATCACATCATTAGCATTCCATATTCAAATGGTCACCAAGTCCTGCAATGTACGGTACTTCTTAAGTATCTTTGAAGTGTTTCCTTTTCTATTATTCTTTTCTGTGTTCTCCTGTCTACACTCCTTGCTTATGGTCTTCACTCTTTATTGCCAAAGTAAACTTTCCAAAAGGCAAATCTGATTCTGTCATTAGAAATTTTTTAATTATTCCTCAACTTAGTATGCCACATTTAGTGGCATGGTAAAATGACTAACATTTTAAGTAAAGTTATTTTTCAATGTTCACTGCTGTCTTACAGATCTTTTTAACATTGCTGACTTTACAGTCGTGTCTCACACTGACCTATATGATAGTATTATTCCATGTTAAACACATTTGGTATGATTTGTATTCAGATCTCATTCTATCACTTTCTAGAATCACTTCCCACATATGTTCCTACTAGAATCAGAGTGTAAAATCCCATCTATGTGGAGATATCACATGCTCTCTCACTCACACTACTATGCCTTGGCATTGTTTCTATCCAAATGCCTTTCCCATGTTTCCATATATGGACAGCTTCTATTTATAGAACTCTAAATTCAAGATTCAGCTCAATCATTATCTCTTAATTGAAGCCTTCCTATACCCTTTCAAACAAAGGTTGGGATCCTCCTCTTGTGTTTGCATAGAATCATGAAAAAGCCTTTTTTTATAATTATAACTTTTTTTTTCCTAGTATAGAGATGACAGCTATTTTTGGGTCAGATATTATATAACTTATTCATTTTTATAGCTATAAGATTTAGCATAAAGCTTGACACATAATAGATGTTCAATATGATAGACGCTCAATAATTGTCTGGTCCATGCACTTAATTCATCATTCTGTTAGGACACTGAAGAATGAACTTGAACTGAAAAATCAAAAAAGAAAAAGTCAAGCAGAGTTAACTATCTTCTTCTTTACTCCATACCCAACTTTTCATTTTCATTTTAATGGTTTTTCTTTTGGTTATGGTTAAATGTAAGAAAAATCAAGATGGTATAGAATATTATGTATTCTGAATGAAAACAGAGGTTATCTTGAAGCTTGAGATAAGATCCAATGAAGATAAAAAGTGTTGTTCACACTCTTCCCCCCACCCCATATGCACATACCCAAAATACTGTTTTAGTTTTATTTCAGTGGATTTTAAGTAACAACTAATCTGGGAAGCTAACATCTAGAGGAACGTGCTCTTTGAATCTTTTACCCTATGAAGTGTTGGTCAGATTATTTTGAGTGTGTAAATTTTTGTGGGGAGAAAGCTTCAAAGTGGTTGGTCAATGACCTACCAAAAATTACAATCTATTTATTTATCTTATACCTGGCAAAACAAAGGATTTCACAACTATTTAAAGTAGTGACTCATAATGTACCTTAAGAAAATCTTTGGCTTGAAGGTTTATAAACTGAACAAAGAACAAAACTCTTAAATGAACATACTATTTTCTTATTTGGTTGAAAACATTAATGAAGCTATAAATTTTTCTTCTTATTCATGAGTAATGATAACTTCTCCATCTCAATTAAGGGTAAAAATATCTTGGTAATTCTGTATTTCCCCAAATTCCTAAAACAGGAATTATTTTTAGGTCATGGTGACATGCATAATGCAAAAAGGTATTTATACATGTGCATAGAATAGACCGACATCTTAGCCCTAAAAACCTAAAATGTTTCTGGTGTACTTCAAATATTGTAATTTCTAATATTACAACTCAGTAATGAAGACATGTATAGCAAAATATGGTACTCTAGAAGACATGTAAACCTTATAAATTTAGTTTACCTGGGATTGTTTTTTAATGTATTTACTAAAAATTCATGTAGATCTATGCCAGTTGAATCAGTGTATTCTTGACTGGAATCTAAAAAAACAACACAAAAACCCAGTATAAAGTTGTTTGAAAACAAATCCCTTTAACTTTTATACATGATGCATATCTTAAATAAAACGAGATGCCCCACATTGGAAAAAAAAAAAAAAAGACAAGTAGAAAAAGGGAATTCTGATGAGCTCAATCACCACAATTTTCTACTCCCAAATAATGAGCATGACATGGGTTATATAAATGCATGTATGTGCAGATTCTAAAAATAATTCTCTTACACATGCCAGTTTAATTTATTCAGAATTCTGTAAAGATACATATATATATACACACATATATATGTTCATTACAATCCTCATGTTCAAAAATGCCTCAAGTATATATTCATATTTACAATCCTCATGTTCAGAAACACCTCCATAAGAATTAGAACTTAGTTAAGATTATGAATAGAGGTAATAATTTGGAGGTAAATAGAAATTTTAGTTCTGTAGAATATTTATTTAGGTATGTTTGAAGTCTAACTCCAAAGGCTTGCTTTCAAAATGTATCTTAAAATATTCGTTTATTTTTTTAATGTAAAATCCTTGTGTTGTTTATCATACTGATCATAACTAGGTTAATATAAGAACTCATTATTTACTGACTTGTAGTATAGATGATTACGCAGTCCCTAAAATTTCGTATGAAAGAAACATTCTGGGTTTCCAAGAATATTCTTATGGATACCAAATATTTTGGTTAACAGCTCCATGCATCTTAAGAAATTAAAGATTAATAACATTTTGAATGGAATCAGAATTCAAATTACAGTGATTCCATTATTTCAACATGAGGAGCAGAATAATAAGTGATCATGACAGTTACCTTCCTCAGTGACTCTGGCATGTGTTGGCAGTTTTTTGTATGAAGCATCTTACTGATTTTCAGAATTGTGTTACCCCATTTTGTCCAGATGAGCAAATAATTATCATTCCTTCAGTCTATTTCATATCACTTTTAATACAGATATACTATATGTAATTACTTGAGGGGAAAAGGATAAAATTGATAGTGAAATTAAAATTTTCTTTAAAAAAATAAGTGCAAACCTCTTGATAGCATTTTTCTGGGCAATTTATCACTGGCTTTTTCTTTTTCTGCTTCATCTTTTGAGGGTTTCTCCTCTTTTTCAAATGATTGTGTTAACTGGACCTGAATTTTCTCCTGTTGGAAGAAAACAAATGAGCTACTGAGTACAAAGATAAGCAATTCATTTTAATTCTACACACATTATAACTTGAGACACACGGAACTGTTAAGTCAGAGAAAAAGGACAAAAGATTTCTCTTTTACCCAAGTGTATGATTGAAACTAGACTAAAGCACTGAAATATTATTACTACTTATCAAAGTCTTAATAGAAAATGTTAAAATTAATGTTATTGAGTGAACACAGGAATTGAAACATATCCTCAATTATTTTAGAGGCAATAAATATATTCTATAGTACTTTAAATGTATCTAACTGCAAAAAGCCTGCAGAGGGCCCTCCCTGGTGGCCCAGAAGGTTAAAGCACAGCACAAGGCTAAAGCTACTTCAGCATGAGTTCAATCCCGGCCCTGGAGGTGATCCATATGGCACAGCAGATCAGCGCAGCAGTGTAATTTGTAGATCTGCCTGTTCTGCTCCCCACTCTGTCTCTGGTGAATTCTCTCACTGCCACCCCTGCACCTCTTCTGGCCTGTACCCCAGTTCTGTATGCATAAATAAATAAGTCTTTAAAGAAAAAAAAAACCTTGTAGAATCAGAACCAAGATTTTCTTAATCTTTTTTGTAATGAGGATGCCATGGCCAAGCAAATGAACAATTATCAGTTGTCATAACAATAGGAACCTATGAGCATCAAGTTCAGTACACCTTTCTAAAACATACTTCACAGGACTTTAAATACTTCTTGAGATTTATGTATCACTGTTTCTATCTCAATTATGAAAAAGTTGTCTTATAAGTTTCAAGTAAAACATGCTATATTGATAATAAACTTCCCATAGTCTGTAAAACAGAAAAGGAAAATCAATTACACTTTTCATTTTAAAAAGTCTCATTACAAGCAATTTCTGAAAGCAAAATTATTGGAAATAAACTCACATAATCTAAAAAGTAAAAATCATATAGCTCTATTCAAAGATATAATGAGTGGTAAAATAGCACATAATTTTTACTAAAGATAGCCTATTTCTAGACTAACTTATACTGTTGTTATTTAGTGACAAAACCCAACAGGACAATTATGTAGCTTTTCTGGGTGACACTTGGTGATGGTAGTGGATGCACTATCCTATTAAAGGAAATACAAATTTCAGGATTCCTCAATTTGTGGCCATCAGGATTTCTATTAAAATTTCCCCCATTTTCAAAGTTTTATTTGGGAGTATTTCAGATCAAATATATATTTTTCTACAGGGTGTGATTGTTATATTCATCTTCTTTCAATTCTGCTTCCAGTCACCACAATTCAAAATATAGAGCAAAAGCTACCCACTGGCAAATCTCACGAAAATGAAGAACACGTGCTTTATGTCCATCTTCTGTCTTGCTTATCAAACTAAAGACTGACATTAATAGAGTTAATATATTCATCAAACAATAGTTAATTTTTCTTCTAGTAATTTGTATCTTTATCAACTTTCATTGTAAGCATAAAGTACATATTTAATATGACATTTACTAATGAGATTATCCAAATATCACCTCCATTAAAATATATAAAAAAAGAACCCAAGATAAATTTCAGAAATAGAATATTTAAAAGATTTTCTAACTTACACCTTCTACTCTTATTACTCAAAGATAATTTATGAACTCAAGTTCAGAAGAAAAAAATGTCAAAATTTAGACATTTGCTAAAAGGCACTTGCAATGACTGTAAGATTTTATTTCTAAATTGTCCCTTCAAAGATATTTATTTTAATTATTGATATGAAGTTATTTTATTAAGATAAGCTATTATAAAGTCAATAGGCTTAATGCACCTAACTAAGGTCTTGATTTTATTAACAAATGAGACATATTTTAAGTGCTGCTTTATATTCTTCTGAGTATAAATAACTGTAATGACAATGACACCACCAAATGCAGCTATAATTCCTTTTCTCTTTCTAACCTATCATTGACAGGTTATTGAGGACACTTACCTCTCAAAGATACAAGTAATAGCTTACTTTTAATTGTCTCTCAACCCTCTGAATAATGAATTTATTCCAGATTAATTCTGAACCAAGCATTATCAGTAAGTGTCTTTATCATCAACAATTAGACATTAGCACATTTCATGATAATTTATTTTCCAATTTTCATTCAGATAAAATTTAGTTAACTCAATAGTTGGGGAAAAACAAAACACCCTTAGATTTCTGACAGAGAGGGTAATAACTGGTTATTATCCCAAAAAGAAAAAAAAAATTATTGCCCAAGAGAAACTGATAGAGAATGTACAAAGTAGAATAACTCAATTCAAGCTAAGTATCTTATTCTAGCATAATTATCTTAGTATATCCTATTATTCACATACTGTAGTTTTTTGAACTGTAAATATAAAAGTTGTTTGTGATCAATAATATATATTAAGATATATACTTGGTATTTTTTACTCGTATAAATTTTCACTATTCAAATTTATGTAGTACTGTTAAGAATTTTCCCAATATTTTCCAGATAAACTGAAGTGTACTGAGTAAAATCAATGATAATGTTGCAGTTTTTCTTTGAAAGCATATACTTTTTTAAAACGAGCAAACAAAACAGAGACCAAAATTGCTGAGGGGCCTAAAACCCCAATGTGAAAACGTATCTCTCATTGTCTATGACTGTTTTTGGACTCATTGTTTTTTATTATCAACTGTCAGTAAATCAAAGTATGTATTTTTTTTTTTGCCATGTTATGCAAAACCTTGCACAATTTGATATTAATCAGACCTAATAATTGATATTTTACTATTAGTGTTACATCTTTTATAAATTTCATATTCCAACTGATGTGGCTTCTTTTTATGACATGTATATATTTTCCTATCCTCACCTGTTTGCTTACTTTGTTTCTAACCCCTGGGGATAAATAACTTTCTCTCATTTTTCCATAAATTCCATTTCTAAGCTCATTGTAAGTGAAATCCTCTGGCAACGAACATTTAAGAACCTAACACTTTGCTACAACAAAGGTGGGTTTTTGTACAAAAAATTGGAAATATACACATACATGATCATATGGGAGGAGAGTATGCACTTTTTCTAGATTAACAGTTTTATGAACGCCTGACCTTTGTCATTTCCTGAGTATCACTGGCCTAATTATTTCATTAAGCTATGAGAGTGTAACACTTAATAGTCAATTATAAGACATTAATTTAGAGCCAATTACACAGCTTTCCTTCCAACCCTGAGTAGAAGTATTCAGTAACTTAAAAGAACTTTTAAAGATTGTTATTTCTAAAAACAAACTTTGCTGAAGTTGTCTTAGAGTTTATTGTAACACTTTTTAGCCTTATCTCCATTTGAAAATGTTCTCCAGACAATCTCAGTAAAATACTTTGACTGTATTTCTATTTTTATTAGAAAGTGTTATAGCTAAAAAGATATCTATTTTATAGAATAAACACAACCTCCATTTCCTTGCATTTTGGAAATACAGAAACATAGTCAGTAACAACATATTTTAAATATGTGTTTAGTATCTGTAGTAGGCTTCTGAGGGTATTATCTTTGAAATTATAAAAGCGTTAATTTTTGTTTGAATCAAAAATATAAAACTGGTATTTACTACATGTTCAGGAAATATGGGGTGAGGGGTAGAAGTACAATCTATTAATGGTTTCTATTTTCTTTCTTCAATCAGGGCTTCTAAATAGCCATAGTTGCCTCAATTCTTTGGAAGATAACTGTTAGTTTGATATTTGTAAGGAAATTTTAGTTTGTCCTTAAAATGTAAAACAGCTTATATAAAGTTACCAAGCTGGAAAACACTGGTAGAGGATTCAAAAATATTTATGTACAATGTCTAAGTCAAAGGAGCTGGGATTAACAGAAAAATAGTAAATAGCACTATGTAGAATGCAAACAACAAAATGAACTACTGGCTGAATCTCAGCTGTTCTGCATTTCACAGCATAGAATAAGAAGTATCAGAACTATTAGATAACTGTTTGATCCAAACAAATATGAAATTGGCTTCACCATACTAATAAAATAGTGTATCAGCCCAAGTCTTAAGTATTTTCCTCTTTACAGCAGTGCTTGACAAATTATCTAAAATCCAAAACCAAAGGGGAAAATTTCATTATATTTAGATCCACTGAAAGTACTACTTTAACATTTTATAACTATTCAATAACTTATAATTTCTTTAAAGCCTCATTTCCAATCAGTAATATGACCACTGAGTTTTCCCAGAGAGAAACCACTACACTAAATCTTGAAGTAACTAACAAGGTTTCCCCAACTTTTCACCTGTGTTGTGTGCAGTATTATCAAATTACCTTAACCTAGTACAAAGAAAATAACATATAACATCATGTGCACATAAAATCTCTATTAAATTCTATGAATAAATACTGTCCAGATAGCAGGTCATTCCACCATGGCTTTAAATAACAGTATTTTTGTTTTGCCTTTTTTTTTTCTTTACCTGGTTCTCCTGTGTTATCTCTGTTGTAGGGGGTGGTGGAGATTCTTCACACACTGCAAGGCTCCGAACTAGCTTTAACTTTGAGCTTGACTAAAGAAAAGTATTTAAAATTAACACTACATTTCACAAATGTAGGGCATAACCAAAAGTTTCCTGGGATTTCTTAAGTATCTTTATAAATATTCTCTGCTACACAAAAGTAGGTGAAATGTGCAAGTTAAGTAGGTCATTAAACATCACTAAAACCTTTTGTTAAGAGGAAAAGAAAATAATGCACTTTTGAAAATTATAGTGACAGCCAGAATGGGAATAATTCCAACTTCAAAACACAAAAATGGTGAGACAACCATTTTCTCTATAGATAAAGAGCCATTAAAGATATAATAAAAGCAATGCACAAAAGCAACTAGGCAAGACAAAAATCTCAAATTAAACAAAATAAGCTTTCTGCTCCAAACAAAATATGACAAAACTAAACTGAAAGCAGCGCTATGTGAAAACAAGGATTCATCAAGCATGGAAGAAGGCCCTTGGCATGCCAGCACAAAATATTTACAATACCTTAGACCTTTTTCCTGTCTGTCCAAATGACTGCAATGGCCGCTGAATACACAATAAGAAAGATTTGTATTAAATTTCATACTGAAACAGAAGTTTGTTTCTTATCATAATTCTAAACCACAGAGAAACCAACTACACAAATTATGGTAAATGAGGAAATCCAAGTTGGTTTCAAGTGAAAAACACTGATTCTTTCCCTAAAAGAACTTGGAGAAGGCTCTCTAAAAAAGTCTTTTGTGGGTTGCATTTTAAGTCAGCAAAAGATCACAATTTCTGCATTAACTGAGCTAAATAAACGAAACCTAAAAACTTCTTCAAAGATAGCAATATGACAAAAATTCTTAAGAATTTTCAAACATATTAAACCCTTTAGTCAAGTAAGAGGATGGGGGTGGTGGGGAAGGGAACTTAGCAATTTTAAGTAGTTGTACTGAGAAACTGAAGATAATGCTTGAAATGTATATTGTTGTCAGAGTAGAACTACTTATCTACTGAACATTTTCAGCACTGTATGAACTACCCCACCAACTTATCAGTTGACTAGAATTCTATGTACGTGGTCCAATGTGGTAATGAACCAGAAATGGAAATAGCAGAGCTTCAATATGCATATTCAGCATGATTGTCAGATCACCAATCTCAGGACTAGGAAACTTGTTAGGGTAACAAGGTGTAATTTATGATACCAGGAGTTAGTCTAGGAAACTTGCTGAAGTGCCTGCTAACCACAACAAAAACAGGTTTTTAATACACTTTGCTTCCTTCCATTTTCCTCCTATCTTTTACTAACTCCAACCATAGTACAAAGTCTTGGTATCAGTTATGATCATTAAAAGCAGGAAGCCAGTTTGGTAGCAAACAGAAAACATCTTTAATACTGACTAGTGTGTTTCACACACAGAAAAAAGTCACCATTTCATTCTAACATGCAAACAGACTTTCCTTGTAAAACCAACAGAAATGAGTATCTGTAGTAACAGAGAGTCTGTCCCCCAAATTTTCCTGAGATAAGGATCATTATATGTACAGGATCTTGACCCTGGATTACCCTTACCACAAATCCACAGTAACAAGAAATAGGAAAGAAATAAAGAAAAATGACTTTCTGTTTACTTTAAGAGAAGGAAATGGCATGCCTAAGCATACACATGCACATGGCAGTGCTGCCTCAGAGCTTTCTACATGTTGGTACTGTCGTCTGTGTCTAATTACATTCTTTAATATGTTTAAGAAGATTTCTAGCTTTCTGTAACTGACATTAAAAATTGAATGAAAAAATGTGTTATGACAAAGTACTTACAGGAAAAAGGGTGGGAGAAAATCAATAGATGAATACAAGCAAACTGCATATGATTAAAGGAGTTGTCAGGCAGCAGAAGGAAAAGCATTTGTGACTTACTTCTCATCTTCTGCTTCAATCCCTTACAATTCTAAGTATTAAGATACAAAATTTTCCATTAAGATATTTTAAAATAAAGGAGATGATTTATTAGCAAATATAGCTGGATTCACATACAGAAGAGTTGGTTTTAAATTTCTGGTTTTGTTTCAGGTGACTCTGACTTCAATTTACTCTCATCTGTATAAAAGTTCATATTATTTGTACTAGTTCTCAATGTTCTTGAATAGATTCAATAAAAGGGTAGATTAAAAAATAGTTTCTCAGATGGATTACATCTGCCCAAGGGATGAAGAGGAAGTCCATATTAAGTGATTCTCACAAGTTCTCAACAATAGCCATTTCAACCTTTTGAAATGGACATGCAGGGTTATTTTAGTTCTTATAAAGTGTGTGGGGGATTTGTATGACCAAAAATCATGAAGATCTGCAAAGATACTACTCCAAAGAAGACCTAAAAACGACAAACAGGGATGTGAAAAGGTCTCTTCTTATTAAGATAATGCAAAACAAAACAATGAGGTTATTACCTCACAGCTGTGAAAGTGGCCATTATCCAATAGACAAGAAAAAAAAGAAATGTTTGTAGATAATATGGTGAAAAGAAAATTTTTGTATACTGTTGGTGGGAATGTAAATTGGTACAGTCATAAGGAAAACAGTACAGTTTCCTTAAAAAATTAAAAATAGAAATTCCATGCAATTTGATTATCCTATTTCTGGGTACCTACCCAAGGATTATGAAAACACTAAATTTGAAGAGATAAATGCACTCCTCATGTTCATCAAACTTTACTTAAATAACAGCCAGGAGCCGGCAACAACCTAACAAGTCCATCTACAAATGACAGGATAAAGAAGTTTGGTATACATGCCCTCAGTCACTAAAAAAGGAGGAAATCCATGTATTATCACCCTATTTCCTTATTAAGAAAAGAACAATAAAATAGATAAATATATTCAAAAAATTTTAAAAGTATAAATGTTTATTAATGATACCAAAAAAAAATCTTTCCATTCGCAAAAACATGGATGGACCTAGAAAAGGTACCATGTTCAGTGAAGGAACTCAGTTAAGTCAGGCAGAGAAAGAAAAACACTGATTCAATTTCATGTGCAGGTGTAATGTAAAGAAACATACATAACAAACAAATGATTCAAATAAGAAAAACAAACTTTTAGAATCTTAAGATCAAATCAGTAGTTATGAATTGGGAAGGGGAAAGGGACTATCGGTAAATTTGGTAAAGGGGTCAATAGTATGTGAAGGATGGAATTAGTTTCTAGTGGTGAGCATAATGCACTATACATAGATATTAATATATAATAACGCACACCCAATACTGAATGCTATAAACTAGTATTATTTCAACATTAATTTGAAAATAAGTTTTTAAAAACTAAGTACTGTACAAATATAATAGATTATTACAGATCAGGAATCTAATATGTCAGAAGACATTTGGTACTTTTGCTTAATAGACATGAAATATAACTTAAATCTATAAAATGGGGATAGTGTATGCTGTCAATAGTAAAAATTTTCATAGACACTCATATGTGCTGAGTCTTGGTTTTAATTCATAAGGAACTTTTGAAAAAGATGAAGAAAAATTAAAAAGAAAAGGCACAGAGAGATAATATTACTTCAATGTGACTTTGTGTTCTAAGTCACTGTTTTATACCCCACACAGTGCTAGGCACTGTAGCTATAAAGGTGAAGAAGACAGTTCCTGAATTCATGAATTTCACAGTCCAGGATCAGTTACTAAACACTTAAAACAGAATTCAAGAGCTTCAGAATCTTAGTTCAGTGTAGGTTTATATCACACCTATAAAAGAAACCTTGTTGTGTATCAAACATTACTTGTAGATAGAAGTGCAAATATAGTCTCAACATCCCAGCCAAGTTAGTTGACCTTAAGATACAAAGATAATTCAGCTGGGTCTGATCCAATTAGTTGATCCCTTTAAAGTAGAGGGTTGTTTTTTTTTCTATTTGGAGAAGAAAGAAAAGTCAGACTCAAAATGTGAGAAGGATCTGATAGATGTTGAGAGAAGGAATACAGGCAGTTCTAAGAGTAAAGTGTGGCTCTAACTGACAATGAGCCAAGAAATAAGGACTTTAGACCCAGGTGCAATGAACTAAATTCTGTCAGCAAATGAAAGAGCCTGGAAGCAAATTCTTCACTGGTCTTTAAGGTAAGGGTCAAATCTGAAAAGCACCTTTGATTTTGGCTTTGTAAAACTAAAGAGAGAACTAACTCAAATGAACCTACCCTAACTTCTAAAAAGAACTGAGTCAATAACTGGGTGGTGTTTTAAACCTTTAAGATTGTAGTAATATGTTATGTGGCAACAAAACCAATACAGTATTATAAAAGCAACTATAGAGTGCCTAAGTGGTATTCTTCAATAAAAATAAATTTATTACTTCATTTCAAATAGCAAAGGAGAGACACAAGAAAACAGCATAAACCAGAAACACACAAGTACACATAATAAAGCAGAGGAACCAAGTTGTTAACTGGTAAATAATCTTTTGTTTTATATTTTTGGTATCAACTTGTCAGCCACATTTGGCTTTATGTAGGAACATAACGACTTCAAAACTCAACTTTTGTTATTTAAAGCACGCTTTTCACACTTCCTCATAATTGTTGCTGTGAAAAAATACACATTAAGGTTACCATCTTAATCATGTTCAGTGAACAGTTCAGTAACATTAAATCATAAAGCTGTGTAACCATCACCACCACAAAGCACACATCTGCAACGCTCTTCATCTTGTATAATTAAAGCTCTGTGCCCATTAAACAGTAACACCACTTCCTCGCCACCCTCTCGACCTACCCTCAGCACACAAACCCTGGCTACAACCATTATACTCTGTATGATTCTGAATACTCTAAAAATACCTCTAAAAAGTGGGTAATATGGTATATCCTTCTTGTGTTAGGCTCACTTCACTTAACATAACCTCAAGGTTCACATATGTAGCATATTGCAGAATGTCTTCTCATTCTAATGTTGAATAATCTTTTATTAATTATATACAACACATTTTGCCAAGTCATTCATCCATCAATGGATGGATTTGAATTGATTCTACATTTTGGCTACTATGAGTAATATAGATCTGAACATAATGGGTGTACAACTATTTCTTCAAGATCCTAATTCCAATTTTTTTTTTTTTTGGTGAATAATCAAAAGTGGTACTGCTGGGTCATGAGGTAAGTCTATTTTTAATTCTTTGAGGAACCACCATGCTGCTTTCCACAGTGGCAATACTATTTCAATTTCCTACCAGTAGTACACAGGGTTCCAATTTCTCTTGTGTAATGTCTTATTTAGGAAAAAATCATTGCCAATTCAATGTTGAAAAGCTTTGCTTCTGTTTTCTTCTAAGAGTTTTATATTTCAGTTCTCGTATGTTTAGGTCTTTGATCCACTTTGAGTTAATTTTTATAAATGGTGGTTGGTAAGGGTCTAAACTCCAAATCTTTTGCATGTGGTCATCCAGTATTCTCAGCACCATTTGTTGAAATGACAGTTAATGTGCTTTTGGCACCCCTGTCAAAAACCTTCTTACTATGTATGTAAGGGCTTATTTTTAGTTCTTCTACAATATTTGTGTGCC